AAATTGGTAAGGCAAAATGGCTTGAATAAAACGGAATAATAATAATAATAATAATAATCATGGTTTACATTACCTCTAATTACTTGTCCAATACCAATTTTACACTCGAATGGTTTTCCACGCTTTCTAGAGCTGTCAAATTCTTTACCATTTTGGAGCGTACCAACATCTAAATTCATCAAATGTCAACAAAAACTCTATAAAATTTAAAGACATAAATGAGATATAGAATAGTTACAATGTATTCTAACAGTATCTCCCTGTGTGAAAAGAATTAATAATGGTTTGTGACGAATTCATGCTATACTGTTGTTCAAAGCAGGTACATACCTTCTTTGGGAAGTTCTATAATTTTTGAAGAACACAACATAAGAATCGCCAAAAGAAATATTTATTACATCAAAAGATCATTGGACTTACCACACAATCTCCCTCCTGAACCAAAGATTATTATTTAGTCATATATATGTGTGTATATATGAGTGAGTGAGTGAGAGGGAAAACTTATCCCCTGAAAGAATTGGATTAAAATGCTGATTGTATATATAACTAATTACGTAATATCACAACTCTTCAGGGGATAAATTTCTACTTACCGGCTTTTCCTCCCGCTCACCCATATATTATATGAGTGCGAGCAAGAGAAAATATACATTCTAAAAATGAATGATTATGAATTTCATCATTTATTTTAGAATGCACATTTTCTCTTACCCGCACTCATATATTATTTCATATTTTGATAAACTGAACAAACCTGGATAGTTTGAATTTGAACGCCCTATTTTTTTTTTTAAAAAAAAAAGAAAAAATTTTGAAGTCAATCCTAAGGGCAAAATACCAAATTGCCAAGTTATATAAGTTAGGCAGCTAATTTAATAGGAAATCTAACTTATATGTTCAGAAATTGTCGGGATTCTACTGCTCTAAGGTGTTGCTATTTCATAAGTTAAAAATTTGCTGCTCATCTATGTTTTTGAAGATTTCTGGGAACAGTAAATTTTTAAATTGACTGTTTTTTAGTAACAATAATTACCATGATTACTATCGATATCGATATGAGTTAACGTTAGTCGACAAAAGATAGAAAAAGTACGTACGTACGTACGTACGCACTTTGATTGATAAAAATGATTGATAAAAATGATTGACACGCCTATCGCAGCATTCGAATCCGGGATCAACGTTACACGAGATTTACGGACTCAGGTACCCCGGGCACTTTCATTACTCATTTTTGTACCGTATAGGGACAATATGTTTACTATATCAAGTTGGTATGATACTTATCGATGTAACATTTTACTACATAACGATAAGGGCTAAATCTTAATTGATCTAAATACGTAGCAGATTATTTGATCAGATTCGGGGTCAAAAAACTCTGAACTTGGCAAACGATCTTTAAATTTGACCAGTAATCGGTCCTGCTATTTAGATCACAACCAAAATTAGCCCTGATAAACAAAACTTCCTAGTCTCTTCAAGAAAACCAAGTTGAGTCACGCAATAAAAGGTAGAATTACTAAGAGTTGAAGTAATGTCTACTGTGTAGCTTAATTCATGAACTTTAGCATCGTTTTTTTTATTGTTTTTCGTTATTATTCGAATAATGAACAGTTTTCTAAGATTATATGTATTTTCTAAACGATGTTTGATCCGTTTTACATATACGATAGTATAGTTTTGCTAATTTAAACAATATTGTAGAAGGTTAAATAGAAACCCAAAATTTTCATTTTAATCTGATCCTCGACAATGATTATCAAAAGTGTATCACGTGAATATAAACCCGGTTTATAATTGGCTACGTAAATTTGCGGAAAAATGCTTCCGTAATTTATTTGATGAAAAGAAGTTGTGAATTTTGTTTTTAAGTGATAAATCATCCTCTCCTTGAGCATTGTAAGTCGCTTATTATAAAATTTGAGGAACAATGAAGAATAAAACCGATAACAATCTTAACCAATTTTTTTTGTGTTTAGGCCACGCAAACAAAAATTTTCGTTTCTCAACCAGCCGGATTATTGAAAATTTTAAATTTTATAGGACGCGTATAACATTAACCAATAAAATCACTAAAATGCGCAATCGTAGTTGAAATTAATTATGCGCAAGATTGTTGTCTCAACATTTTTTTGTAAAGTTCAATATCTTGAGATATGTACCTTTTATAGGTTCTTTTCTTTTCTTTGGTAAATATGAAAACAGAACTCTATCTTTGATTGGAAGGTTTGAAATAGAAATTTTCCAGAGAGTTACATCAAAGCTATAGATATTCCATATTTATATTCTTGCTTAATAAGATAGAAATTTATATGTGCTAGCAGTTGAATTTGAAGTCATAGATGTCTCATTTATCTGCTTCGATAATTTGAGTTTTGGCTTCATCGAATGCCAATTTATTAAAGTATTAGTAAATTAATAAATATAGAAGACAAAATATATAATACTTGCAAGATCTTTTTGAATAATATTACATAAAAATAAAATCAGAAGTGCTAATCCTTAATACGTATTACCGGTATATGGCCTATGTGTTCATCGTAATTTTATAAAAGTTGCTTTTAGTATTTCACTATTAACATATTGTGAAGCCATCTAACAATAACCGTTGCTACGTATTTGCTTATTTGCATTAGATAAATATTTAATGTGGCGGATCATAATGAAATCCAGATCAAAATGAAATTATAATATAAAATCTCGAAAAATAAAATTTTTTGGGGTGCATTTTTTAGGGATAGGGGTTAGGGTTAGGGGTTAGTTTTAAAGTAAAGTTATAATAAACAAGTATAAGTGGGTTTTAGAAGGTTAACAGGTTGAGTAGAAAATGTAGATTTCATTTTAAATTATGATCCGCGACATTTTTTGATACCTCAAAAATTATAATTTGCTTTATTACCTTTCGTTGTCCCATTGAACCTTTTGGTGTCACGAAAGTTCACACCAATAAAGCAAGTTGCACTCATGATTAATCCGGTACGTACGTACGTACGCAGAATATTGAGTCATGTCGAAAAGAATTTGAGATCGCATGAATCTAGACAATTACATCACAAGATCTGGCGTACATAATGATAAAATTTTCTTACCGTTACAACAGTTACAATTTATGTTGGCAAGAATGTATTTTCGGATTTTAGGTTTTCTAGACAGACAATTTAGAACTGATCCGAAAAATATGGTCCTTATGTCTGAAAATCATAATATCCAAACCACATGAAATTTGACCAATAAAGTTGTATGCTTATACTTATTTTCGGAAATTTAGGACCATCATGTGTTTCGTTTCTTTTCGGCTTTTGTTTATTATTTATTTTTTTTATAAAAAACTAATTCACTAATCAAATAGGTAACGGAATTGATTTACTAAATTTCACTTTATCGGCATTGGCCCCTGAAGTATCTAATTCTACGTGATTAGTTTTAGAATATACATCATTTCATTTCTTTTTTTTTTTTTTAAGAGCCGCCGGATCATTTATCTTATAATATGTATGGATTGATGGCCAAAGCACATCAAAGCGACTAGAACGATTGACAAGCATACTGAAACAACTAAAACAATTAATTTTACGCGTATTTGATTACATTTATTCAATTTTGCAGGGCCAAATCCGATAAGGGGGCAGAATAATTATGCGGATATCGTCAACTCGTGCTCGAATAATTTGAATTTATCATTTTCGAATCATGAAAATTTAATTCACATAATTAATATGTAAGCTTATGTAATTTAACGTAACTATGTAATCATTGAAATTTAAATAAACTGTATAATTGCCATGTTTAATAAAAAAAATTTTTCAAGACATTTATACAAATATGGCGCAATAATGAACAAGAGAAATCCCTGCGCTGAAAAAATTAGTCAAAATATTATTACAGAAAGAGCACAAACCTTTATCCAGAATTGGTGGGTGAACTTTGCGTAACTTGCTACTTGAAGTATATTTGCTTTTGTAATTCACAATTTACAAGACTTTCAATAAATTGTGACTCGAATTAATCGAATAAAACCCGAATAAATAATTTGAACGAATGATTCCAACACTCTGCGGAGTTTAATTCACGAATCACGAGTTAATACGAGTCCGGTCACTATATGTGGAAATAAATTCTTATGCATTTAAAGTTTTAACCTTGCGGAATTTACGTTATTATTAAATAACGCAACGCTGCTAGAAATAAATCAGAACATTACTTTTTGATGGAGAGTTGCTCTGATGATAAAGTATCTTCAATTTTGTCAATATTTATGCTATACAACTGACTCTCGATATAAGAAAGGTGGTCGGTACATAGTAAAAATTTTACAAAACTTTCTTAAATTGCTAGCTTATTAATAACCTTCTTATATTGAGTGGATTTATTACAGACTGATTTTGGCTTGGCTTTTCTTTTAATTGATCTTTCTTATATCGAAGGTTTCTTATACTGAGAGTCAGTTGTATATTTTCTATAAATTGTAGTTATTTCAACATTAATCAATAAATTCTTAACCGGTTATAACTTTATGACCAACCCAGCTAACAAAAAATATGGAACCAATAGAATAAAAAGCAGTAACCAAAATCCAAATAATATTCCAATTTCTGTTCGTAATATCTAGTATCCATCCAGTGAATGCCACTCCTAATACAGCCGGAATTCCGGCACATGTATTTCCCAACCCATAAATCGCACCAGCGTATTTTGGAGCTATATCCAACTATTATAATATATATTAAGTTAAAAATTATTATTATATAAAATGATAAAAATAATCATTAATTTACCTGAGACACGTGTGCACTACAACTAAAAAATGAATTTAATGCAGTGCCAATTGATATTAAAATTATTCCTTGCAAAGGCGTTTGTGCTAAATATGCTGTCTAATGATAAATTACAAATTGAAATACATTAATTAATACAGGAAAGTAGTCAAAAAATATTGAAAGACTTACACATAAAACTTACACATAAAAGAAATGTCGATGTTCCAACTGCACCAATTATTTGAGCTCCTCTCCGTACAGTTTTTATATGAAACTTCAATTCATTGATTGCGTAATCACAAATAACCCCAGCGATAATGCCAGTGATTCCTTGTGTGGCATAAGGAAGTACTAAAAAAAAAGTTCATATACATGCAAATGAATTATATTAATTATCATAACTTTGAATAACATTATTATTTATATAATAAATTTTTACCAGCATAATATCCGAAATTTTTAAGATTTAATTTAAAATGATCCAAAAAATAAATTGGTAACCAGTTTAGTATAATAAAGTTACCAAATGAGTTGCAAAATTGTGTAATGAGTATAGCCCACACTTCACGACGAGAAAGAAGGAATTTCCATGGAACTTCTTTCGGATTTGACATTATCAAATTCTCCGGCAATAGTACATCAGCCTCAGCTTCAAAATTATTATCTTCTTCAACTATAAAATTTGCTAATGGTACATCAGAGATTGCATTATCATTCTCACTTGTTGTTGATTCAATAGCAATCTCACTAGATTCTATTCTATGATAATTTAATTTTTGGCTAGGTTTATTTTTTTTCTTGTTTTTTGAAATCCAATCCAATTCTTCTTGACTTATTCCTGGATATTCATTTGGATTGCTTTTGCCATAAATTTGCCATAATATAGACCAAACAAATCCTGCTGTTCCAAACGTCCAAAAAATACTAGGCCATCCCCAAGGGCCTGATCCTAACCAAGTTGATATCAGCAAAGCAACCACATTCCCTATATAAGCTGAGGCTACATACCAAATTTTATACTTATTAATAAAATTATTATACTCAATCCTTTGATGAAATTGTATTTATACTTACATACTGTGGTTGAAACCGCTTTACTGCCCTCTTCTTTTGGAAACCATGTTGCAATCAAGGCGTTTACGGACGGAAAACATGCTCCTTCACCAATACCCAAAAGTATTCGACATATTATGAGATATCCTAAACCAATCTTAGCGGAAATCGGTGTAAGAAAGGTAAATAGTGTCCATGATGCGGCAGCTAAAAATATTTACATATAATTCAGTTAATTCATTTAAAGGTGCTAAGGTGAATTTTGAATTTAAAAAAAAAAGTTAACACACTCATTTCTTGACTATGCATAACTTTTAAAAAAGTACAATATAATATTATTTAATAATTATATACTTACAAACGCTTAATACCCATTTTCCACCATATTTATCGGCAAGTGCACCACCTAAAACTTGTGTTGATAGGTATCCCAAAAAAAATGATGACAGTATAACACCTTGAATAGTTGATGTAAAGTTAAATTCTTTTGTCATATAGACTACGGCAATAGCCATGTTTGATCGGTCTTTTAAAAAATTTATCCATATTTAGTATGAATTTTGAATACATTAACTATTAAATACGTATCAAACTAAATCGTAAATTTCGGGCACGTAAGTACATACCTGCATAACTGATAATAATTCCAGTCACGCAAAAGATAATAATGATTAATCGCTTTGGAATATAAACCTCTTGAAACAAATTAAAATTTTCAAAAATCATTTTTTTCTTGATAATATTCGATATGCGAAACTAATCGTTATGACCTAAATTATACGTATTCTGAAGGCTGATTGATCATTAGCCCTCCGTATATTTCCGAAAATAAGCTACCTTTTTGGCAGAAAAATTACACAAAAATTTACGGGTAGCTTATTTTCGAAATTAGAAAATTAAAATATCTCAGCGAATACTTGTTCAAATTGCATGAAATTTCCAGAATATATGGATTTTTATATTCTGAACAACTTTACTTAAGAGCTCGAAGGCAATTTATTTAGTAAAATTTCGACTTTAATATGTAAAAGCTATTGGCGATTTTTGCAAAAAACAGGGTGGTAGCTCATTTTCAAAGGTAACAATTTCGGGACAATACGGTATTTGTACCTTTGTGTAAATATGGATCACCGCATATTTTAAACAAATATAGTTACTCAAATTACTGCGTACCGCTTTTTATATTACTGTAACAGGTAATGTCACTTTCATATTTGAAAAATAAAAGCTTTATTTTTAATTAATGTAATTAATTTGCTTTTAAAGATATCATTTTATTATAAGATGACGTTCTAAGATAATACGTAAGACTTGATATTCCCTATCGTATTCCATATTAAACGCGATAATATTAAATGATTAAACAAAAGTAATACGTATAACGTTTCTATTCAGTTATAATTAAAACCATATTATTTATAACCCTAACAACCATTAAGAAAAATTGAAATCACATTGACAAGGCTTCACCCTACAATATACAATATTCAATTTATGATATTGTTATCAGAATCGTAAAATGAAAGTTATGTTCTGTCCTGGCGTTATTCATAGAAAAAATTGGTACACTAATTAAACTGATTAGTTCTCTGACAGGTGACGGGGCTATGATTTTATGCTGCAATAAACCATCAATTATGCATGCAACAAAAGTAAATTATACATTTAAAGTATCTGGTATGTATATTTTTTATACGTAACGATACGTGGATTCTTGGGGTGTTATATTGATATCGGTCAATTTACAAAAATAGTGCAGATGATATAGTGAAAAATCACTAATAAAGATTTTCTACGTATAATAAAATTTTGGGATCTGCGTTCTATTATTAAAAAAAGTCAATTTACTTCGCCTTTAATTTCTTCCGCAATATTTAACATTTTTAAATTCTATAAAAGCGGGATGTTTAATGAAAAGCGCCTTTATAAGTAATAACGTTATAATTTTACCTTACTAATTGAAATATGTCACTGCTTACCTGAGTGTCCGTCATCTTAAGATTTATTGCGGCCACATAGTAATTCGTTGATCGGGTTTTCTTGTAAAATTTAAAGAGCACGTTAAGAGACTTCAGCAAGTATAATTTGTTTGTACATGTTTATTGGTTCAAAAGGTATTAAATTTTTATAAAATCCCGGCCAACGATTTATTATGTGGCCCGCATCGAAGTAAATTTGATTTTTTTTATAATAATTTAATATAGAACGCAGATCCCAAAATTATACGTATTACAAAAAATCTTTATTAGTGATTTTTTTTTTTACTAATAAACAATCGTACTGATTAATGACTTTAAGGTTTTTGTCATCGATTGGTTATTATTATGCTGCAGCTGCGCCATTATCTGTAAATTGACCGATATGATACACCCCAGTGGATTCTGCACCCAGAATCTATATTTGCGTATGATTATGTATATGAAGCAATGAATTCCATATTCAGAAACGTACCTTTAGTTTTTCTTGACCTTGTTCGTTGATTGATTTTCTATCCGGAAAATTTCGGAACAGTATTTAGAGCCAATTATACGATAATTACTTAATAATAACGTATTTATGCATTATGTAGCAAATCTAACCTATTATGCATTTTTATCAATTACGTATTTATTGCAGTTTATGTGATTTGCAATCATAATCCCTGATTCAACATTGTCGCGAGTTCATTACTGTAGTCGAGTTATACGTACAAGTGCTTAAACAAGTAATGAATATCTATAATGCCATTCACGCGCGTAAATGACGTGTTAAAGGGTATCTAATCGTCAGCAATGACGAATGTAATAATTAAAATGTAGACAATTTGACAGTGTCTCAACTTTTGTTTTGGTGCAAAGCGTCTAAATAATTATTACGATAAATACAGTCGCAATTCCATAAATGCACACTCCATAAATGCACGGTATAGTCTGGCTCCAGCTTATAAAGTACTTTACATACAGAGAAACCTCCCTAAATGCACCCTTCCTAAATTCATTACCTCTCTAAATGCATTTTTTAAATTCTGACCCAAATATATTCTTAACCTTCCTAAATGCAATTTTGCTTATGGTTCTCTAAATGCACATGGTCAAGAGTTTGGTCCCGACAGGATGAATTTATGAAGGTTTTCCTGTATTTGCTCTCTATAAATGCACATTTTTTTTTTACTATGGTCCCGAGGGTAGGATAACTGACATGTGCATGCAGGGACCTTGATTTGTTTGGTAAAAACATCTATCTATATAGTCAAAAATATCGATTTATATCGATTTGCCCTGACCAGCCAATCATATTGCGCTTTCTAAGATAACATGGCCATCTTCTTTGCTTTATCTGTCAGAAACTTTCGAAATTTTACCTAACATTGCATTAAAAATATCGATTTCCTACAATTTGGCCTAAAAATATCGATTTATATTTGATCTAAATAAATCAATATTTTTTCATGTTCCTGCTGGCATGCCACCATTAGACATGCCATTGTGACATGACCGAATTTTTTAAAACCTATTGGGCATGCCATTATTAGTAAATTACATTTTAAACTTATTTAAATAATTTGATTAGCTGAACAAAAAGTAATATTGTAATATATATAAATATTTCATTAATATTTATATAAAATATAATGTGGCATGTAGGATCTGCAACCCGGGCTCGTGCCCATGCCCAACAAAAATTCAGGCATTGCCATAGGCATGAAACTTGAAAACTTTGGCATGGGCATAAACATTTGTACAAAAATTTGATATAGACATTAGCATAGACACAAAAATTTGGCATAGGCATGGCACGAGTATAAAAACTTGGCATAGGCATAGGTATAGGCACAAAAATTTAGTATTTATTAATTAATGTGTCTGGTACTATCTGGCACTTGTGCCTGACACCTTTTTAGCACCTTTTTGCTTGGCATATTGTGCTGTATCTATAAAGTACCTGGCATTTGTGCCCATGCCTATAAAAATGCCTGGCATTTGTGCCACTATCATTTTAAGATAGCATATGTGATAAAATGATATCTACAGATCAGATTGAACTTGAAGACAGAAGATGATATAAGTAACGCTGCTAAAAGCTTGTCTGGAACAACATTGGCAAATATAGAGCCAGATAGAAATGATAATGAGAAAAGTGTTAGTGAAAATAAAAAGTTAAAAACTAAAATCAAAATAATTAAAGAGATTTCAAAACTATTCTTTTAGAATTGGCCTGTAAAAGGTGAATATAATAGATATATCCATGCATATTTACTGCCTTATATTGGAGAATAGAATAATTTTGTATTAGCATATGTAAATAAACTTTGGAATATATTGCCTTATTGGCCACAGCCAGCAATATCGAAGCATACTACTCCACAATCTACATGGACAATTCCTATTGTTATAGTGGTACTTTTAAAAAAAGGGTTTAAGAAGAGCAAGAGAAAAGGTTTAAGCAAAAGAATTTATTTACTTGTTTTAGAGACAATAAAGATATTACAAGGTCATTAGAACGAAGGCAATATTGTAGGAATATTTAGAGAACAATATTCCAAAGAGTATTTAATAGTTTCTATTCATTATCTACTCTAATATTTTCTATCTAAAATATCTGTTGTCTGTGGATTATTGTCTGTTGTCTGTTGTCTATTGGGGTAAGGGAGAAATGTCTTTCTTTAAATAGCTGTTAGGTTGGCATACAGTGGTATACAACTATGTGGGGTACACTAGCATATACTGGCATATAATCATGTGTGTTGTACTAAGATATACTATTATATATTCATGTGGCAAGTGGCATATACTGGTATACAACCATGTGGCAGGTGGCATACACTAGCATACAGTACAACCATATGGCAAGTGGCATACACTGACATATAGCATATAGTGGTATATGGCACACAGTGGCATACAGCACACAGTGGCATACGGCACACACTGGCATACAGCATATAGTGACATACAGTACACACTGGCATACGGCACACACTGGCATACACTTCAATATTCTAACTATTCTAAATACAATATAAATTCTAATACAATATAAATTTAACAAGAATTATATCTAAAATATAAACTATAAATTATAAAGTATTGTTCTACAAAACTACTATATTAGTGTAATATTATAAAGTTACTCTGTAACAGCTTCTTCTACCTTTAGAAATTTGCTCCGCAAATTTAATTTCTAAAATAATTTATAGTATCACATACCAATACTCAAAAAGTAATCATATACCAAAAATTTAATTAAGTGTCCTGCACGAAATTGTATCACTGTTTGATTTTCCTTGTGTTTCCTCCTTCTAAAAATAGTAAATGTTTTATGAGTTTATTAATTTATTAATTGTTTCCTGTTTCCTTGTGCTGAGTTTCCTTATCAAGTAATCAATTTTTCTATATTATTCTAATTTGTTCTATTTTATTCGATATTATTCTGTTTCTTTGTTGATG